TGATTCTTCCTGCTTCTTTCGAGTCTTTTTCTCTCCTTCGGGTCGGGAAGATGGGAAAGGAGTTCCTTCTTCTTCCATTTCTATTTCTCCTTTTATTGATACTACTACAGAGGTCAGAGGTCAGAGGTCCCGTGGTGTATGGCGGAGGTCCCGTGGTGTATGGCGGAGGTCCCGTGGTGTATGGCGGAGGTCAGAGGTCCCGTGGTGTATGGCGGAGGTCAGAGGTCCCGTGGTGTATGGCGGAGGTCAGAGGTCCCGTGGTGTATGGCGGAGGTCAGGAGGTCCCGTGGTGTATGGTGGAGGTCAGAGGTCCCGTGGTGTATGGCGGAGGTCAGAGGTCCCGTGGTGTATGGCGGAGGTCAGAGGTCCCGTGGTGTATGGCGGAGGTCAGAGGTCCCGTGGTGTATGGCGGAGGTCAGAGGTCCCGTGGTGTATGGCGGAGGTCAGGAGGTCCCGTGGTGTATGGCGGAGGTCAGAGGTCCCGTGGTGTATGGCGGAGGTCATTTGGTGCCCATCATCCTGGTGCGATGTTCCCATTTTTTAGATGTTTCTATTATTTCCCCCTTGTCTAGGGGATCCCGGGCACTCAGGATTTATACCGCCGTTTTATTCATGTTTATGGCCTGTATTTTTGAACTCCCTAATGCCGGTCTCAAGTTCAACCCCCTTTTTATTTTTATTATCATTTTAAATATTCTATTTTGTATTTTATTTTTGATCTTATTTTAATATTCGTCCTGATACCTTTTGATATTGATACTAGCTTTTCTCTTATTATTGATCTGTTCTGCCTTTGATTATTTTAACCAGAACTTATTTATCATAAATGTGTGTTTGGTTATTTCTTATATCTCCTGATGTCCACTTTTCTCTTGTGTGGAACACCTCATGAATCTTTCCTTTGCGTATTTCTCCTATTTCCCAACCACTGAATATCTAGTTATCATAAGTATATGTTCGGTTTTTCTCTTATCTTTCCTGATGTCCACTTTCCTTTTGTGTGGAACACCACTGTATGAGTGTTTCTACCCCTAGTACTTTAATGGGCTTTCACACACCGTTCACTCTTCCTCTCTTAGAGTGAGACCGGCAACGGCCCAGAAGAGGTGCACCAACCTTTCCCCACCAAAGACAGAAACGTTTTTTATCACACATGCGTTCACACTTTTCCCCCTGGTGCGGACCGGGTGCGTCCTCTCTACCAGGTTACACTTAAACAACGGCCCAGAAGAGGTGCGCCGACCTTTCCTCACCAGAGCAGAATTATTTTCACACTCACTTGCACCCTCACTCTTTCATACACTTGCCTAAGCTACCTGCAAATTCAACCCCCTTCCTGATTCACTTCCTCGACACAAGAAAAACGGTTTTATACAGGATTTTTGCCCACCTATGCAGCCCTCTAAGCGATTCCCTTCCTCGACACGCCTAGAGCGGTATTCGCAGGACTATTTATTTTCTGATCGCCCAAACCAGAACAGCCGCTCGCGCTGAAGCGACCCAGACAGAATGATCAGCAGGATGAATCAAATGAATCGATCGAATTTGAACAAATGCAAGGAAGGAAGGAGGTTCTCACCCAAGATTTGATGGTACATGGCCCCGTCCATCGTCCCTTTGATGTGGTGAAGTTGTCCTGTCCCCTTAGCAGAAAAACACCCCCAAAGCATAATGTTTCCACCTCCATGTTTGACGGTGGGGATGGTGTTCTTGGGATCATAGGCAGCATTCCTCCTCCTCCAAACACGGCGAGTTGATGCCAAAGAGCTCCATTTTGGTCTCATCTGACCACAACACTTTCACCCAGTTATCCTCTGAATCATTCAGATGTTCATTGGAAAACTTCAGACGGGCATGTATATGTGCTTTCTTGAGCAGGGGGACCTTGCGGGCGCTGCAGGATTTCAGTCCTTCACGGCGTAGTGTGTTACCAATTGTTTTCTTGGTGACTATAGTCCCAGCTGCCTTGAGATCATTGACAAGATCCTCCTGTGTAGTTCTGGGCTGATTCCTCACCGTTCTCATGATCATTGCAACTCCACGAGGTGAGATCTTGCATGGAGCCCCAGGCCGAGGGAGATTGACAGTTATTTTGTGTTTCTTCCATTTGCGAATAATCGCACCAAATAGTGTCACCTTCTAACCAAGCTGCTTGGCGATGGTCTTGTAGCCCATTCCAGCCTTGTGTAGGTCTACAATCTTGTCCCTGACATCCTTGGAGAGCTCTTTGGTGTTGGCCATGGTGGAGAGTTTGGAATCTGATTGATTGATTGCTTCTGTGGACAGGTGTCTTTTATACAGGTAACAAGCTGAGATTAGGAACACTCCCTTTAAGAGTGTGCTCCTAATCTCAGCTCGTTACCTGTATAAAAGACACCTGGGAGCCATAAATCTTTCTGATTGAGAGGGGGTTAAATACTTATTTCCCTCAATAAAATGCAAATCAATTTATAACATTTTTGACGTGTTTTTCTGGATTTTTTTGTTATTCTGTCTCTCACTGTTCAAATAAACCTACCATTAAAATTATAGACTGATCATTTCTTTGTCAGTGGGCAAATGTACAAAATCAGCAGGGGATCAAATACTTTTTTCCCTCACTGTATTTATATATATATTTTTTATCAAGCTGACATTGAATAGCTCTTTGAGCATAGTGAAGTTATTAATTACATTTTGGACGGTGTATAAATACACCCAGTCACTACAAAGATACAGGCGTCCTTCCTAACTCAGTTGCTGGAGAGGAAGGAAACCGCTCAGGGATTTCACCATGAGGCCAATGGTGACTTTAAAAACGTTATAGAGTTTATTGGCTGTGATAGGAGAAAACTGAGGATGGATCAACAACATTGTAGTTACTCCACAATACTAACCTAATTGACAGAGAAGGATATTCCAAAACATGCATCATGTTTGCAACAAGCCACTAAAGTAATACTACAAAAAATATGACAAAGCAATTAACTTTTTTTGCTGAATACAAAGTGTTTTGTCTGGGGCAAATCCAATACAACACATTACTGAGTACCACTCTCTATATTTTCAAGCATATTTTCAAGGTTTTACTGCTAACCTACAAAGCATTATATGGGCTTGCTCCTACCCATCTCTCTGATTTGGTCCTGCCGTACATACCTACACGTATGCTACGGTCACAAGACGCAGGCCTCCTTATTGTCCCTAGAAATCCTAAGTAAACAGCTGGAGGCAGGGCTTTCTCCTATAGAGCTCAATTTTTATGGAATGGTTTGCCTATCCATGTGAGAGACGCAGACTCTGTCTCGACCTTTAAGTCATTACTGAAGACTAATCTCTTCAGTAGGTCCTATGATTGAGTGTAGTCTGGCCCAGAGGTGCGAAGGTGAACGGCAAGGCACTGGAGCGACGAACCGCCCTTGCTGTCTCTGCCTGGCCGGCTCCCCTCCCCTCTCTCCACTGGGATCCTCTGCCTCTGACCCTATTACGGGGGCTGAGTCACTGGCTTACTAGTGCTCTTCCATGCCGTCACTAGGAGGGGTGCGTCACTTGAGTGGGTTGAGTCACAGACGTGATCTTCCTGTCCGGTTTGTCGCCCCCTCGGGCTCGTGAGGTGGAGGAGATCTTCGTGAGCTATACTCAGCCTTGTCTCAGGGTAGTAGGTTGGTGGTCTGTTGATATCCCTCTGGTGGTGTGGGGGCTGTGCTTTGGCAAAGTGGGTGGGGTTATATCCTGCCTGGTTGGCCCTGTCCGGGGGGTATCGTCGGACGGGGCCACAGTGTCTCCCGACCCCCCTGTCTCAGCCTCCAGTATCTATGCTGCAATAGTCTATGTGCCGGGGGGGTAGGGTCAGTCTGTTATATTTGGTGTAATTCACTTGTCTTATCTGGTGTCCTGTGTGAATGAATAAAATAAAATAAAAAATCCCCCCCCCCCCCACTCACTTCTAAAACCAAAGTTGTGCACCTGCTATGGACTATTCATGTTAAGTTGGCAACAGTAATGCAACAGGGTGGATTGGATGCTTGAGTAAAAAGCGGATTATAGAGTAGAGTGACCAATAGTGTGATTGTTTAGTGTTTTAATAACTCAACAAGTAGTAGATTATATTTACATTCGTTTTTACTTACACTTGTATGTTGACTTCTCCATATTGATGTTGGTTGTAAGTTTTGGCTGACTTTCTTAGCGGATGTACAATCATCGCAAATTGAATAATGGGGCGTTTCAGGCCCCGGAGTTAACAGAATTGTACACTGGATCACAAACGAGGGCTGAGGGGCTTACATTGCCAACTTCCCTTGTTGGCTAATTGTTTGGACAGACTGCAAAGAAGGCCGCGGGGATTCCCCCAGGGTATAAGGCGAGAGTAAGTGGAGGAGGGTGTGTCTTTTGTGTGTTTGAAACGCAGCCATTGTCTCACATGCCAGAAATGCAGCTGTTTTGATTACATTTGACACTTCGCGGCCACCGGAGTTTGACACTTGACTACAGTTTGCATTGAATTGTGGGTCATATCAACCCCACAATAACAAAGTTCTTCACTCGCTCCCTCGAGCTAAATCGAGGTCTGAGGTGGCAACGTTTGTGAATTGGACCTCCACTTAAGATGGCAATCCAACTGCATCCGGTTTCGGGGGAAAGTGGCTAGCTGGACTGCAGCCCGAGACTGTTCTCAGGCCCCGCCCCGCCCCGCCCAGCCCAGCTGTAACCATGGCGACAGGGGAACGCGGAGGTGTGCGCCTGCGCAGTGGTTCTCTCTGTATCCAGTTTCAGCAGCTGCAACTGTAGGGAGATGCTAGATGCTAATGCCGCAAATGTTGTTCTCACGTTTTCCAATGGGAGATGGAAGCGTATGATGTCAGCTAGCTAACGGGGCTACGGCTAACTTTACCCAGTGCCGCCTCCTTATCTGGTACACTTGCTTTGTATGTTCTCTAACAGTAGTTTAACATAACGGCCCGCCTGTCGCCCGGTTCGAGTGTGTGGGCGACGGTGAGTGTCGGGGGGCAGAAGGAAGGATGAACGCGTCGCTCTCTAAAGGCAGTCTGCTGGACGGTGTTTTCCAGGAGGGCTTCAACGAGGTAACGTTACAACCTAGCTAGCTATTTAGCACTACTGTACTGGAAGAGTTTTGTCTGTGTGTGTGTGCGCTTGTGCTTGTTTCTCTGTCTTTTAGCAAAGCAGTTAGCTTGCTTGTTGAGTAGTTAATAAATTAGGTTAGCTGGTTAGTTAGTTCAGATCAGTAGAGGTTTAGTTCTGGGTCTGTTTTCAGGCTTCTGAAGTTAGCCTGACGAGGAGACAGAGATAGACTAGAGTAGTGGTATTCAAAGTCGGTGTCGCGACCCTGGGAACTGCAGTGGGGTCGCCTATGTGTAAAAAAATAGGAACAGAATATTAACAGTACAGATTATTGTATGGGACAATATACAAACGTTTTTGAGAAAGATAATTTGAAAGATAAAATGCTTTTGAGTTAATATATGTATTGGTTTCTTTTCATTTTGATAAGAGATGAAAATGCAATGAATTGAAAGTTATTTGTTGTTATAAAAATCTAAATGTACCGATTTTAAGGTTGTGTCATTAGATTTGGGGTGGGGTGGGAGCGCAATAAATAATTGGGGAAAAAATAGGGTCCACAGAAATTATTGGGGGGAAAAATGGGGTCCCTGCTGAAAAAGTTTGAATACCACTGGTTTAAGCTATCAACACCAAACCAACGTTGAGATGTTCAGACTGGCACAACTTAGGGCTGACCCCATTTAGTCGACTGGTCGATTGTTTGGTCGATAGGCTGTTGGTCGACCGAGACTTCTATAGTCAAGCAGTAGCAAAAAATTATAATGGACTAATCCATTGTGGAGGCCCTGGGGATGGCACAGTCCATCACTCTAAGACAAGACGTGCTATTGAAATTGTATATGGTTATATTATGTAAGAACAATGGTGCAACATTAATAATAATATAATTTTTTTTACAAATGCGCTGAAACATCAGTGCGCTGTTGAATTGGCGCTTTTTCCTAGACCCCTCAAACTCAACTCTGGACCTCGAAGCCAGTTCCACTGCATTTTTTAATTGTTCCCCTCTAGTCAGTGACTGATTTAGACCTGTGACATCAGGTAGAACAGAAAACCAGCAGGCTCCAGACCTCGTAGGGTAAGAGTTGATTACCCCTGTCCTAGACCATGTTGCTATGAGCAGTAAATTAGGCAACTGTAAGTCGCTCAGGATAAGAGCGTCTGCTAAATGACTTAAATGTAAAAATGTAAAAAGCATAATAGCACAGTTAACCAGCATATTGGTGTTGAGAACAATGCGGCAGAGGCAGCAGCGGAGTTAGGAGACGAGAAAACAGCCCTTGCCTAATTGTCTAAGAAAAGTGAGGAGAGAGGAAACCATAACTTAATTAGGTCTATAATCAATAGCCTAACTGTTAAATGGGCCTGGCTTTAGAAATCATCCATATCTACAGAAATAAGGCAGATCCTGCTTCTGTTGCCTGTTTGAGTGTTTGATTAACAGCCTACTGATTCCGTGAGCACCAAGCCTCACACAACCACAACATGTGGGATAAACAAGTTCAACAATTCTGCTGTTTGTAATCTTTGCTGTGCTGTAATAAAAGGCTGTACGCTTTCTTTCATTAGAACAGCCTCTCTGGTATTATTTACTTAGTGTTGTTTACACTGTTCCAAACAGGCAGAAAAATAATTATTTATAATAATAATAACCCTCCTTTATCTAGATCTCAATCTTATTGTTATTATGATCATCACTATAATAATAAGTAATGTCGTTATCATTAGTAGCCTTGTATAACCACCATCGAGCTGTAGGTGTCACGTCCTGACTCAGAGGACGCTTGTATGTTGAGTCAGGGTGTGTATTTTCCTTGCTGTGTTTTGTTCTATGTTGTGAATCTAGTAGGTCTAGATCTATGTTGGCCTGTGTGGTTCCCAATCAGAGGCAGCTGTCGTTCGTTGTCTCTGATTGGGGTCCATACTTAGGCAGCCTATTGGCACTAGTGGGTTGTGGGATCTTGTTCCGTGTTAAGGTATGTTGTGTTGTGCTGCCTTGGACTTCACGTTTCGTTTTGTTTGTTATTTTGTCGTTGTGTTTGATATTCAATAAACATGTACGCATATCACGCTGCGCCTTGGTCTGACCCGTTCATCAACGAACGTGACAGAAGATCCAACCAAACGAGGACCAAGCAACGTGCCCAGGAGGAGCCAATAGCCATGTCCCAGGTGGGCAAATTGTGGTCATGGGAAGAGGTATTCGCGGGGAAAGGGCCATGGGCGAAGGTAGATACCCAGGCAGGAGAGGAGCAACGGCAACGCAGAGGACGCCGGTCGAGGAGGAAGCCCGAGAGACAGCCCCAATAACATTTGGGGGGGGGGCTAAAGGGGTGGTCGGGGAGCGAGAGAGAAGAGGCACCCGGTCGGTTTTCAGATTGGGTCCCTACGACCATGGGAAGAGGAGTGGGAACAGTATTATACTGAGGAGTCGGAGGATGACGACGACGACGAGGTTCTGTTCCCTAACTCGTGGGGGCTCCCGGAGGAGTCCTCACAGGAAGAGGAGTGCCGACGACGGAGACCCGAGAGGCAACCCCAAGAACATTTTGGGGGGGGGCACACGGTGTGGACGATGAGGCAGCAGGAGGCCGTTAAAGGGCGGGTCTGCAGGTTAGGAGAGGAGGCCACCATGTTACGGGGGCTATTGGTTCAGAGGGAGCAGGAGTTATTCGGTCAGAGGGAGGCGCTACAGGAGGCTATAAGGGAGAAGGAAAGTGTAGAGGCACGGCGAGAGGAGCTGGTTAGGCAGCAGAAGGAGCAGGGGTTAATAAAGGAACCCAGTCCCGCTCCTCGCACCAACCAAGTGGTGCGTGTCGCCAGTCCGGTCCGGCCCGTTCCTGCTTCCCGCACTAAGCCAGTGGTGCGTGTTCCCAGTACGGCCCGACCCGTTCCTGCCTCTCGCACCAAGCCAGTGGTGCGCGTCGCCAGCCCGGCCCGGCCTGTTCTTGCCCCTCGCACCAAGCCAGTGGTGCGCGTCGCCAGCCCGGTCCGGCCTGTTCCTGCTCCTCGCACCAAGCCAGGGGTGCGCGTCGCCAGCCCGGCCTGTTCCTGCTCCCCGCACCAAGCCAGTGGTGCGCGTCGCCAGCCCGGCCTGTTCCTGTCCCTCGCACCAAGCCAGTGGTGCGCGTCGCCAGCCCGGTCCGGCCTGTTCCTGCCCCTCGCACCAAGCCAGTGGTGCGCGTCGCCAGCCCGGCCCGGCCTGTTTCTGCCCCTCGCACCAAGCCAGTGGTGCGCGTCGCCAGCCCGGTCCGGCCTGTTCCTGCTCCTCGCACCAAGCCAGTGGTGCGTGTGTCCAGTCCGGCACGGCCCGTGCCTGTTCCACCGGTGCCTGGTTCGGCACCGGTCAGCTGCTTTACTCCGGAGCCAGAGCAGTCCGCTCCACTGGTGCCCAGTTCAGCTCCGGTTAGCTGCTCCACTCCGGAGCCAGAGTAATCCGCTCCACCGGGGTCCAGTCCAGATCCGGTCAGCGGATCCACTCCGGAGCCAGAGCAGTCCGCTCCACCGGTGCCAAGTTCAGCTCCGGTCAGCTGCTCCACTCCGGAGCCAGAGCAATCCGCTCCACCGGGATCCAGTCCAGCTTCTCCACCGGGGAATCCACTTACACTGACCAATCCATATCACGGCAGGGCTCTACACTGACCAATCCATATCACAGAGGGCTCTACAGTGACCAATCCATATCACAGCAGGGCTCTACACTGACCAATCATATCACAGAGGGCTCTACACTGACCAATCCATATCACGGCAGGGCTCTACACTGACCAATCCATATCACAGAGGGCTCTACACTGACCAATCCATATCACAGAGGGCTCTACACTGACCAATCCATATCACAGAGGGCTCTACACTGACCAATCCATATCACAGAGGGCTCTACACTGACCAATCCATATCACAGAGGGCTCTACACTGACCAATCCATATCACAGAGGGCTCTACACTGACCAATCCTTATCACGGCAGGGCTCTACACTGACCAATCCATATCACAGAGGGCTCTACAGTGACCAATCCATATCACAGCAGGGCTCTACACTGACCAATCATATCACAGCAGGGCTCTACACTGACCTATCATATCACAGCAGGGCTCTACACTGACCTTTTTAACAAGGAGCACATAGAAACGTAGGCGCAAACAAAGAAATTAAGGAGCACAGTGAAATATATTTTTGGTAATAAAGCTAGAATCCTTAATTTTTCTAGGTGCTCTGGTGCTCCTAAATATAAACTCCAGGTCGCTCTGGTGCTCCTAAATATAAACTCCAGGTCACTCTGGTGCTCCTAAACTAAAACTCCAGGTCGCTCTGGTGCTCCTAAATATAAACTCCAGGTCACTCTGGTGCTCCTAAACTAAAACTCCAGGTCGCTCTGGTGCTCCTAAACTAAAACTCCAGGTCGCTCTGGTGCTCCTAAACTAAAACTCCAGGTCGCTCTGGTGCTCCTAAATATAAACTCCAGGTCGCTCTGGTGCTCCTAAATATAAACTCCAGGTCGCACAGCAAAATATTTACGCACAATACAGGAGTAAAATGGTCCCACTGTAGAGCCCTCTGTGAAAATTTTTAAATTTTAAATTTAAATATGGATTGGTCAGTGTAGAGCCCTCTGTGATATGGATTGGTCAGTGTAGAGCCCTCTGTGATATGGATTGGTCAGTGTAGAGCCCTCTGTGATATGGATTGGTCAGTGTAGAGCCCTCTGTGATATGGATTGGTCACTGTAGAGCCCTGCTGTGATATGATTGGTCAGTGTAGAGCCCTCTGTGATATGGATTGGTCAGTGTAGAACCCTCTGTGATATGGATTGGTCAGTGTAGAGCCCTCTGTGATATGGATTGGTCAGTGTAGAGCCCTCTGTGATATGGATTGGCCAGTGTAGAGCCCTCTGTGATATGGATTGGTCAGTGTAGAGCCCTCTGTGATATGGATTGGTCAGTGTAGAGCCCTCTGTGATATGGATTGGTCAGTGTAGAGCCCTCTGTGATATGGATTGGCCAGTGTAGAGCCCTCCACGGTAAATTGACTGAATTATCACGATAACGATAAATTGAACGAAAACTTTATGACATTAATGGTCACCGCAGTTATTTTGGTTAAAACTACTACTACATGAAATGTTGTAGCTATCAATTGTCCCGTTAACAATCACCCATATTAGAAAACGTATTTCATTTCAAACTTCACATTTCTCTAGTAGGGCCCTATGGGTTATTTATCGTAGTGAACGATATCAGAAAAATGTCCACGAAAATGGTGGGTTTGGTCAGTGTGGTGGGTTTGGTCAGTGTGGTGGGTTTGGTCAGTGTGGTGGGTTTGGTCAGTGTGGTGGGTTTGGTCAGTGTGGTGGGTTATGGTCCCACCTCTACTCTTACGTGGAGCCGTAGGTCAAACTTTAAATCCAACCCTGTCAAATTCATCGACAGAGCTCTGGATGTAAGGACTGACAGTCTGTAAGATCAACATGATATGAGCTCTGGATGTAAGGACTGACAGTCTGTAAGATCAACATGATATGAGCTCTGGATGTAAGGACTGACAGTCTGTAAGATCAACATGATATGAGCTCTGGATGTAAGGACTGACAGTCTGTAAGATCAACATGATATGAGCTCTGGATGTAAGGACTGACAGTCTGTAAGATCAACATGATATGAGGTCAAAATTTAAACTTTCAACATATTTTGAAGCTGTGTTCATGGTGTTGTGTGTGTCTGTGTGTGTGTGTAGCAGCAGCTATCAGCCTATGTGTTGTGGGTGAACAGCCAGTTGAAGAAGCGACCAGGCCAGAAGCCCATCACAGACCTCAGAGTAGACCTGCAGGATGGAGTGGTGCTGTCACACCTAGTGGAGATAGTGGGTTAGTACTCACACACTACCACACACCATCACACCTACCACACACCACCACACCTACCACACACACCAACCACCACAAAACACCACTACACTACCAAAACACACCACCAAAACACACACCAGACCACACACCACCACAACTCGACAAAAACCACCAACCGACCAAAAACACCACCCACACCACCACCGACCACACACCACCACACCGACCACACACCACCACACGACCACACACCACCACACCACCACACACCACAACACCACCGACCACACACCACACACTACACACACCCCCACACCGACCACACAACCACCACACCACCACCACCACACAAAACACCAACACACACCACCACACACCACCAACACACACCACACAGCACCACCACCACCGACAACACCCCACCACACAGCCACACACCACCACACACGACCACACAAACACACCAACACTACCAACAAGACCACACCACCAAACCACAACCCACACCTACCACACCACCACCACACGACAACACACCCCCACGCACACACAACACCCACAACACACAACAACACAACCACACGACCACACACAACACCACATACACCACACACCACCACCGACACACACCACCCCACCGACCACACAACACCACACCACCAACACCACCCCCACACACACCACACACAACCACACCGACCCACACCGACCACCCACCACCACCACACACCACACAGACCACACCCACCCACCACACCACCACCACACCGACCCACCACCACCCCACCGACCACACAACCACCACACCGACCACACACACACCCACACCCACCACACCGACCACACACCACCACCACACAACCACACCGACCCCACACCACCACACCACCACCCCACCACCGACCCACACCACCACACCGACCACAACACCACCACAACGACCACACACAACCACACCACCACCACGACCACACAACACCCAACCCACCACACAACACACACCACCACACGACCACACCACCACCACCACACCTACCCACCACAAACACCAACCACCGACACACCACACACACCAACAACCACCACACCGACCAACACCACCCCACCCAACACACACCAAAAAACAACGAAACCACACACAACACACCACAACACCCACACCACAAACACCAAGCAGACCACACCACCACACACTACCACCAACCCCCACTACCACACAACAACACACCCACACACACCACCACACACCACTCACCCACAACACCCAAAAACCACAACAACCAAAAACCAACAACACCAAACACACCACACCAAACAACACCAAAACAACACCAACCCAACCACAACCAAACACACAAACAACACACACACACATACACCACACAAACCACACACCACCACCAAAACACACACCACAAACACAACACCACACCAAACCGACCACACCAACACAACACACCACCAAACACACCACAAAAATACACCACAACAAACACAACCACACTACAACCACACCATACACACCACACAACCACACACACACTGACACACAAAACCAAACCCAACACCAAACCACACACTACCACCCACCAACATCCACACAATACCACACCACCAACCACCACAACACCACACACACAAACCCACAACCAGACCAACACACACAAAACCAACACACAACCAAACCCCACACCAAACCACACACACCATGAACACACACCATACACACACCATACACTACAAAATCAACCACACAACACAACCAAAACTACACACCAAAAAACACACAACATAGACCAAATACATACACCACACAAATAACACCACACCATACTACAAAACACAAATAACCATAATACAACACATAACAACACAACACCAAACATACACACCAAAATACACCAACAACACATAAACCCCACTACACCATACAACACCAACCAAACACACATACACACAAACCAATATACACAACACCATACCATACTAACACAAAACCATAAACCAATCACACCACACAAAACTACACACAAACACGACCACAACCATACCACCAACACCAACGAACAACACCAAAACACCCAACCACAACCACACATACCACATCATACACACAACAAACACCACACCACATACAATCAACCACACCAAACTATACTACCACATAAACACACCCACACTATACTACTATACACACCCAAACCACACCAAACACAGCCACACAAACCACACCAACCACACACACACCAAACTACACTAAACACACACACCTACTACACGACACCACAACCAAAGACACCAACAACACACTACACCATACAAACACCACCACAAACCAGAAAACAGACACCAACAAAACGAAGACACAACCGACCACACAAACATCTACACCACACAAACCACAACAACACACGACATCCAACCACACACACACAAGACACAAAACCAGACTACACAACTACAAACACACCACTACACCACATCACTCACCACACACCCACACACAAACCAACACACTACACGCACACACCACAACCAATACTACAAAACCAAAACCAACTACAACACACCACGACACAACCAGACACACCTACACCAAACCACACCAAACACACACACAAACCAACATAACCAACCACACACACACACCGACAACCCAAACACACAACAAACACCAACCCACACACCACACAAACGACTCACACACCAACCACACCATACACACACACCACACACACCCACACCCAACACCAGACACACTACCACACACCATACAACGACCCCCAGTACGCACAAACCAGACAATACAGACGACCGACACCACACGACACCAACCAAAAACACCACACAAAGACCACCCACACCCCAGACACCACACCAACACACACAACACCACACCAACAGACTACCCAGACCAACCACCACGACACCACACACGACACAACACCACGACACAAACAACCACACCAACGACACTACAAAAACACCCAGACCACAACCAAGACACCAAACGACACCACACACACGAACATACCACAACACAAAACCAACGACACACACCACAACACAACCAACTACACCACACCAACGACACCAGAACGACACGACACCGGAACACACTTATCACCATACTACACTACACATACTACACTACACCATACCACACTACACCATACCACACTACACCACACTACACTACACCATACTAAACTACACCATACTAAACTACACCATAACCATACCATTCAACACAATCTCACATCCAGCACTTTGGATGGGGACTTTGGCAAATTTGTTAGTTTAGCTGGAGAATGCTGGGCCATCGTTGAATGAAAATAGAACTGTAGAAGGAACGGTCCGTCTTTAGTGATTCCCCAGTGGTACAATAACTACAACGTGCCCAGTTTAAACACCGCCTTCCAACAATACTGATTATTTCAAATAATGAATGATGAAAACCCCAAACCAGAAACTACTGCTGCTCCTAATCACATCATTCTACGTGAGCCTGGACAGATTGTCGCCGTTTACACAAAAAATGTGTCCAAGAGAGATTAAATAAATGATGATTTGATTTACATGATAACCCTCTCCTTCTCCCATCCTTGCAGCGGGGGAGGTGCTGGAGGGGGTATATGAGGCTCCTCGGGACCGGGAGGAGAGCAGGGAGAACGTGGAGCGAGTCCTCAGCTTCATCACCTCCAGACGTATACGCATGCCTCACACCTCTGCCCGGGGTAACACACACACACACAAACCTCCACACGGGGTAACACACACACACACACACACACACACACACACACACACACACACACACACACACCTCCACACGGGGTAACACACACACACACACACACACACACATACAGTGGGGAGAACAAGTATTTGATACACTGCCGATTTTGCAGGTTTTCCTACTTACAAAGCATGTAGAGGTCTGTAATTTTTATCATAGGTACACTTCAACTGTGAAAATCCAGAAAATCACATTGTATGATTTTTAAGTAATTCATTTGCATTTTATTGCATGACATAAGTATTTGATCACCTACCAACCAGTAAGAATTCCGGCTCTCACAGACCTGTTAGTTTTTCTTTAAGAAGCCCTCCTGTTCTCCACTCATTACCTGTATTAACTGCACCTGTTTGAACTCGTTACCTGTATAAAAGACACCTGTCCACACACTCAATCAAACAGACTCCAACCTCTCCACAATGGCCAAGACCAGAGAGCTGTGTAAGGACATCAGGGATACCATTGTAGACCTGCACAAGGCTGGGATGTGCTACAGGACAATAGGCAAGCAGCTTGGTGAGAAGGCAACAACTGTTGGCGCAATTATTAGAAAATGGAAGAAGTTCAAGATGACGGTCAATCACCCTCGGTCTGGGGCTCCATGCAAGATCTCACCTCGTGGGGCATCAATGATCATGAGGAAGGTGAGGGATCAGCCCATAACTACACTGCAGGACCTGGTCAATGACCTGAAGAGAGCTGGGACCACAGTCTCAAAGAAAACCATTAGTAACACACTACGCCGTCATGGATTAAAATCCTGCAGCGCATGCAAGGTCCCCCTGCTCAAGCCAGCGCATGTCCAGGCCCGTCTGAAGTTTGCCAATGACCATCTGGATGATCCAGAGGAGGAATGGAAGAAGGTCATGTGGTCTGATGAGACAAAAATAGAGCTTTTTGGTCTAAACTCCACTCGCCGTGTTTGGAGGAAGGAGGATGAGTACAACCCCAAGAACACCATCCCAACCGTGAAGCATGGAGGTGGAAACATCATTCTTTGGGGATGCTTTTCTGCAAAGGGGACAGGACGACTGCACCGTATTGAGGGGAGGATGGATGGGGCCATGTATCGCGAGATCTTGGCCAACAACCTCCTTCCCTCAGTAAGAGCATTGAAGATGGGTCGTGGCTGGGTCTTCCAGCATGACAATGACCCGAAACACACAGCCAGGGCAACTAAAGAGTGGCTCCGTAAGAAGCATCTCAAGGTCCTGGAGTGGCCTAGCCAGTCTCCAGACCTGAACCCAATAGAAAATCTTTGGAGGGAGCTGAAAGTCCGTATTGCCCAGCGACAGCCCCGAAACCTGAAGGATCTGGAGAAGGTCTGTATGGAGGAGTGGGCCAAAATCCCTGCTGCAGTGTGTGCAAACCTGGTCAAGACCTACAGGAAACGTATGATCTCCGTAATTGCAAACAAAGGTTTCTGTACCAAATATTAAGTTCTGCTTTTCTGATCTATCAAATACTTATGTCATGCAATAAAATGCAAATTAATTACTTAAAAATCATACAATGTGATTTTCTGGATTTTTGTTTTAGATCCCGTCTCTCACAGTTGAAGTGTACCTATGATAAAAATTACAGACCTCTACATGCTTTAAGTAGGAAAACCTGCAAAATCAGCAGTGTATCAAATACTTGTTCTCCCCACTGTATATCCCATAGTTCTCACATAATCTCTCTTTCTCCTGTGTGTGTGTGTGTAGATATAGTAGAAGGTGATCTGAAGTCAGTGATGAGGTTGATTCTGGCTCTGGCCGCCCACTTCAAACCATCAACCAATCAGAGAGCAGTGTCCAGGGGTGGGCGGAGCATGGCGGGGGCCGCAGCCAACCACAGGCCACTCTCCACAGTTGCCATGGCGCAGAGCGCGGCAGCAGCATTGGCAGCCGCACGACACGATGCAGAGAGAGCTTCTAGACGCACACTCCTCCACAGGTACACACACACCTCCACAGGTACACACACACCTCCACAGGTACACACACACCTCCACAGGTACACACACTCCTCCACAGGTACAACACACCCTCCACAGGTACACACACACACCTCCACAGGTACACACACCTCCTCCACAGGTACACACACTCCTCCACAGGTACACACACACCTCCACAGGTACACACACACACCTCCACAGGTACACACACTCCTCCACAGGTACACACACTCCTCCACAGGTACACACACACTCTTCCACAGGTACACACACACACTCTTCCACAGGTACACACACACCTCCACAGGTACACACACACCTCCACAGTACACACCCCTTCCACAGGTACACACACAACCTCCACAGGTACACACAACACCCTCCCCGTACACACACTCCTTTCCCCAGGTACACAACACCTTCCCCAGGTACACACCACCCTTCCACAGGTAACACCACTCCTCCACAGGTCACACACACCCTCCACGGTACACACACCCCCTCCCCAGGTACACACACTCCTCCACAGGTACAACAACTCTTCCCACAGGTACACACACCCTCCACAGGTACACACCACTCTTCCACAGGGACACACCTCCTCCACAGGTACACACACTCCTCCACAGGTACACCACACCCTCCCCCGGTACACACACACTCTTCCACAGGTACAACACAACTCTTTCCCCAGGTACCACCCTCTTCCACAGGTACACACACTCTCCCCAGGTCACACACCCTCCACAGGTACACCCCACTCCCCTCTCCACAGGTACACACCCCTCCCCAGGTACACACCCCTCCTCCACGGGAAAACCACACCCCCTCCACAGGGACACCAAAACCCCCCTCCACATGGTACACACACCCCTCCACAGGTACACACCACACCTCCACAAGGTACACACACTCCTCCACAGGTACACACACACCTCCACAGGTACACACACTCTTCCACAGGTACACACACTCCTCCACAGGGACACACACACACCCTCCACAGGTACCCACTTCCTCCACAGGTACAAACAACCCCCCCCACAGTACACCACACTCTTCTATTCGGTGTGTGTATAATGTGGTGTAAAAGTTCGGGTTGATGTGTGTAGTCCCTTTCCCGGGGTTGGGGTATATGTTTTTAATGTCCCTCCAGGGGTTGGGGTATGATGTGTGTAATGTCCCTCCAGGGGTTGGGGTATGATGTGTGTATTGTCCCTCCAGGGGTTGGGGTATGATGTGTGTAATGTCCCTCCAGGGGTTGGGGTATGATGTGTGTAATGTCCCTCCAGGGGTTGGGGTATTTGTAATGCCCTCCAGGGTGTAGATGTGTAATGTCCCTCCAGGGGTGGGGGGTATGATGGGGTGGGATGTCCCTCCAGGGTTGGGGTATGATGTTTTGTAATGTCCCCCCCCAGGGGTTGGGGTATGATGTGTGTAATGTCCCTCCAGGGGTATGATGTGTGTAATGTCCCTCCAGGGTTGGGGGTATGATGTGTGTAATGTCCCTCCAGGGGTTGGGGTATGATGTGTGTAATGTCCCTCCAGGGGTTGGGGGAAAGATGTGTTGAAGTCCCTCCCGGGGTTGGGTATATGTGTTGTAAGTCCCTCCAGGGGTTGGGGTATGATGTGTGTAATGTCCCTCCAGGGGTATGATGTGTATAATGTCCCTCCAGGGGTTGGGGTATGATGTGTGTAATGTCCCTCCAGGGGTTGGGGTATGATGTGTGTAATGTCCCTCCAGGGGTTGGGTATGAGGTGTGTAATGTCCCTCCAGGGTTGGGGTATGATGTGGGGTAAGTTCCTCCAGGGTGGGGTATGATGTGTGTATTCCCTCCCCCAGGTTGGGGTATGGAAAGTGTGTGGGGAATGTCCCTCCAGGGGTATGATGTGTGTAATGTCCCTCCAGGGGTATGATGTGTATAATGTCCCTCCAGGGGTTGGGGTATGATGTGTGTAATGTCCCTCCAGGGGTTTGGGGTATGATGTGTGTAATGTCCCTCGCAGGTGTTGGGGGTACTGATGTTGGTAAGTGTCCCTCCAGGGGGGTATGATGTGTATAATGTCCCTCCAGGGGTTGGGGTATGATGTGTATAATGTCCCTCCAGGGGGTTGGGGTAATGAATGTTGTCATAATGTCCCTCCAGGGGTTTGGGGTGTGATGTGTGGAATGTGCCCTCCCAGGGGGTATGGGGGATGATGTAGTCTAATGTCCGCTCCAGGGGTTTGGTGGTATGAATGTTGTATACTGTCCCTCCAGTGGTTGGGGTATGATGTGTATACTGTCCCTCCAGGGTTGGGGGGTATGATTGTGTGTAATGTCCCTCAGGGGTTGGGGTATGATGGTGTGTAAGTCCCTCCAAGGGGTTGTGGGTCATGAAGTGTTGTGTAAATGTCCCTCCAGGGGGTGGGTATGATTGTGTAGAATGTCCCCCAGTGGGTTGGGGGTATGATGTGTGGTAATGTCCCTCCAGGGGTTGGGGTAATGGATGTGTATAAATGGTCCCTCCAGGGGTTGGGGTATGAATGTGTGAATGATGTCCCCTTCCAGGGGTTTGGGGTTATGAATGTGGAATAGTCCCTCCAGGGGTTGGGGTATGATGTGTGTAATTCCCCTCCAGGTTGGGTTGATGTGTATGTCCCTCCAGGGGTTGGGGTATGTGTGTTTAAAAGTCCCTCCAGGGGTTTTGGGGGTATGATGTGTGTAATGTCCCTCCACGGGTTGGGGTATGATGTGTGTAATGTCCCTCCAGGGGTTGGGGTATGATGTGTGTAATGTCCCTCCGGGTTGGGGGATGATGTTGTATGTCCCTCCAGGGTTGTAGTTTTTAAGGAGTTAGGGTTGGGGTTGTGGTATGTCCCCCAGGGTTGGGGATGATTGAAACCCCAAGGGGGGGTAGAAATGTCCCCCAAACCCCCAAACCCCAAACCCCCCAGGGGGGAAAACCCCCAAAGGACCCCCCAACAAAAGCCCCCCAAAACAGCCCACCATTAAAAGCCCCCAAAAAATTTAAGCCCCCAGGGGGAAAACCCCCAAAAACCCCCCAAAACCCCCCAAGGGACAAACCCCCAGGGGGAAAAAATTAAAACCCCCAGGGGTTGGGGTGATTTTATATTCCCTAGGGTAATTAACCAAAGGGGTTGGGGGAGAAAATGGGTTGGCCTCCTTTTATTTTAATTCCCTGGGTTGGGGTTATGTTGGGATGCCCTGTATGATGTTATGTTCCCGGGGTTTGATTGGAAGCCCCTGTTTTGGGGTATGATGTGTGAATGTCCCCAGGGTTTTTGGTATTGTTGTATTTCCCCCGTGGTTTTGGGGTAGGGTGGTTATGTCCCTGGGGTTTGGGGTTGATGTGTGATTGCCCTAGTTTGTGGGTTTAGTTTTGGGAAAGCCCTGGTTGGGGTTATGTTTTAATGTCCCTGGGGTTATGTTTGCCCCAGGTTGGGTTAGAGGTTTTATTTTTCCCCAGGGTTGGGGTTGATTTGTATTGGCCCTGTGTTGGGGTTTAGTGTTAAGTCCTTAGGGGTATGGAGTTATAAGGCCCTTCGGGGTTGGGAGTTTTGATTGGAAGCCCTGGGGGTAGGTGCTTTATTAAGCCCCGGGGTTTGGGGTTGATTGAAGCCCCAGGGGTTGGGGTAGTAGTGTTAAAGCCCTCCGGGGATGTTGAGAGGATCGGGGAAACCGTTGCGGGAGTTCCTTTGTTCCAGCAGTTGGCAGGTGAGTCCTGACAAACACCGGGGAGGTAACGAACAACACCCACCACACAACCAACCACAGGACAGAACACCCGGGTAGGGAGAGGAAACACACGGCCATAAAAACCCCGTACAATCAGAAGCCCACACAACAAAGCCCCGGGGCCACAACACCCCCTCACAACACCCCCCCCAAAAACCCCCCCAAAAACCAAAAAAAAACAACCAAACCCCCCCAAAAAAACCCAAACCCCCCCAAAAACAAAACCCCCCCCAAAAAAACCCCCCAACAAAAAAACCCCCCCCCAAACCCAAACCCCAAAAAAAAACACCACACAACCCCCCCCAAAAACCCCCCAAAAAAATCAAAATTTTCCCCCCCCCACCCCCCCGGGGTGGCAAAACCAAACATGTCTTTAGAGAAACGTTGAAGGCTCCTTTTAGTTTTTTATTCATGCTGCCCTGTTGGCGGTAGGTGCAGTTGATTCGGTAAGCCCTGTTGGCGGTAAGGTGCAGTTGATTCAGAAGCCCTGTTGGGCGGTAGGTGGCCGTTTGAATATCAGAAAGCCCTGTTGGTTGGTAGGTTGCAGTTTGATTCAGAAGCCCTGTTTGGTGGAAGGTGGCAGTTGATTCAGAGCCCTGTTGCGGTAGGTGCAGTTGATTCAGAAGCCTTGGGTTTGGCGGTAGTGCAGTTGATTCAGAAGCCCTGTTGGCGGTAGGTGCAGTTGATTCAGAAGCCCTGTTGGTGGTAGGTGCAGTTGATTCAGAAGCCCTGTTTGGTGGTAGTGTGCAGTTGATTCAGAAGCCCTGTTGGTGGTAGGTGCAGTTGATTCAGCAGCCCTTTGGTGGTAGGTGCAGTTGATCAGAAGCCCTGTTTGGTGGTAGGTGCAGTTGATTCAGCAGCCATGTTGGTGGTAGGTGCAGTTTGATTCAGAAGCCCTGTTGGTGGTAGGTGCAGGTTTGATTCAGAAGCCCTGTTGGCGGTAGGTGGCAAGTTGATTCAGAAGCCCTGTTGGCAGTAGGTGCAGTTGATTCAGAAGCCCTGTTGGCGGTAGGTGCAGTTGATTCAGAAGCCCTGTTGGTGGTAGGTGCAGTTGATTCAGAAGCCCTGTTGGCGGTAGGTGCAGTTGATTCAGAAGCCCTGTTGGTGGTAGGTGCAGTTGATTCAGAAGCCCTGTTGGTGGTAGGTGCACTTGATTCAGAAGCCCTGTTGGCGGTAGGTGCAGTTGATTCAGAAGCCCTGTTGGTGGTAGGTGCAGTTGATTCAGAAGCCCTGTTGGCGGTAGGTGCAGTTGATTCAGAAGCCCTGTTGGCAGTAGGTGCAGTTGATTCAGAAGCCCTGTTGGCGGTAGGTGCAGTTGATTCAGAAGCCCTGTTGGCGGTAGGTGCAGTTGATTCAGAAGCCCTGTTGGTGGTAGGTGCAGTTGATTCAGAAGCCCTGTTGGTGGTAGGTGCAGTTGATTCAGAAGCCCTGTTGGCGGTAGGTGCAGTTGATTCGGAAGTAAATGTGGACAGTTATTCTAACATCTTCTAAGTGCACGTCACAATTAGGTAAGAAAGACCGCACATCATTGCATCCTTGATTTGCATGTTCTGTTAAGATGAATGACCATAATCTAAAGGTGATTTCTGTCATTCTGAGCACCGTGGGTGGACGCCCTAATGGTTTATGCACCCAATGCATATGGGGCCGGTAAATGTCTCAAATGGCGGGTAAATTAAAATGCTGCCTGTCATTTTCCTAACGGAAACCCTGGACCACACACACACCACAGACACACACACACACACAGACACACACACACACACACACACACACGCACACACACACACACACACACCACAGACACACACACCCTCCTGTCAGTAATCAGTGTTTATGTCCTCAGTTCCCCCAGAGCCCCGCCTACTAGCCAATCAGACAACAGAGAGCCGGAGGAAAGCCAACCAGAGAGAAGCAGTAAGAGAGAGATGGTGGAGCCAGGTTGGGAGAGTCCTCTGACTGGGAGTCTGGAGAGAGAGATGCAGGAGACACGGAGAATGGTGTCAGCTCTACAGGTACACACATATGTTATGTTTGTTGCTACCTCGGGGGACCTAAAAACATTGCCATCAAAACAAATTGACCTAACCCTACCTAACCCAACGCCTAACCCAACCCTTAACCCAACCCAACCCTGACCGGAACCCTAACCCTGAACCCTTACCGTAACCCAACCCCAACCCGCAACCCGAACCCGGATACCCAACCCGAACCCAACCCGAACCCAACCCAACCTGACCCGAACCCACCTAACCTAACCCAACCTTACCCAGAACCCAACCCTAAACCCGAACCCAACCGTAACCCTGAACCCAACCCAACCCTAACCAGAACCCAACCCAACGCTAACCGGAACCCAACCCGAACCCTTAACCCAAACCCTTAACCCTAACCCTTAACCCTAACCCCTAACCCTTAACCCAACCCCAACCCTTAACCCAACCCCAACCCTTAACCTAACCCCTAACCCTAATCCTTAACCCAACCCCAACCCTTAACCCTAACCCTTAACCCAACCCTAACCCTAACCCAACCCTAACCCCAACCCTAACCCAACCCCAACCCTAACCCTTAACCTAACCCTTAACCTTTAACCCTAACCCAACCCTAACCCAACCCTAACCCTTAACCCAACCCCAACCCTTAACCCAACCCTAATCCCAACCCTTAACCCAACCCTAACCCAACCCTAACCCCAACCCTAACCCTTAACCTTAACCCAACCCTAACCCTTAACCCAACCCTTAACCCTAAACCTTACCCAACCCTAACCCTAACCCTAACCCCTAAGCTTAAAATAGCCTTTTCCTTGTCTTACTATCCTTGGGATTTTAGAAGAACCAACACACACACACACATACGTGTTTATAGACAATATCAGGACTTATGACAAAAATGTGACATATTGGGACATGCCTTTCCCAAGGTCCAAGAGACCTGGGAATCAGAATAGTTTCGTCCCATGATTCTAGGAATACATCCATCTGTTGAGATTTTGTCTAGGGCTATTATTTGTTCAGACGTGATTTTAATAGTATATATGAGGACTTTTTCGGGTTCATGTGACATATAAGGCCCATAGCAACAGCAGCCCATAGATACACACAGATTTTCAGGTTTATGTGACTTATGAAGACCCTGTAATAGGGTCTGTATTTGAATGTGGTTCCGGTTACATGTTGAAATGTCTGCATAAGAATCATAGGTGTACAATACTTAACTAAAGCTTTAAAAAAATGTATTATAATAATCATGCTCACCAGACAGGTAACCTTCAACAGAAATGCCTATCCATGTTTACATAGCTCATAAACATAATATATTCTCAGTCTACTGTTTAAGTCGTATTATTGTTATTTATAACAATACATTTGCAGTCAATATTCATGTAAAAAAAGAGGGAACACTTTATGCCTTACTATTATTGAGTGCCAGCAAAAATATGCAAATTAACAAATCAATTGAACACCCAGAATAGACCACCTACACTTTGCCTCCTTCCCTGCTATGCACAAGGCATTAGAAATGGCATGTTTGAAATGAATGAGAAACTCTCTATTAAAGCATCCAGCTTCTATGAAACATGACAGTGTACATTCAGCTAACCTGTCTAAATAACGTAGGGATTTACATCATAGTTACATAGTGCAAGTTACCATACACGAGGCCTGTTACAAGCACCCATTGAAATGGTAATAGTTTAACAGTCATTTAAACACCTTGCCACACTCAACAACTTGTGGTTAAGAACAAAGTGCTTCTGAAAACTTAGGAACAATAACAATCCCTTTAAGTACTGTTTGTCTTTTTCCCTGTCAATGAGAGCAGAGTATTAACCTAATATCATCAACTGTTATCCCCAAAAAATGTGACCATAAGTGGCAAACATATGCTCATTAATAGCCCTCAATTATACATAAACATACGAACATGTGGGATCTACAGTCGAGCCTATGTGGCATGTTGGTACAAGAACCAACAATATAAATCATTTAAGGAAAATAAAATAATATGAACATGAAACCCACAGATATTAACACTATCTGAGGGGAAGCTGATTGAAATTGGAATTGAACGGTACCTGAGCTACAGTTGGCATGCTCTAGTTCCATCTGTTCATCTTCCTTTTTAATGCTACGTTTCTGTTGTGGATGTAGTATTTGATAGCAACCCCAGTCTCTGTCTGTCAGAGCTACTGGCTCTGCTTGGAGCCAGGAGTCACAGTCCTTTTTACCTGGTATTCTGCAGCTCGTTATGAAATTAAGCAAATGCCGCTCAACAGCTTTCACTTCATCACCTGTCCACTTGCTTCTCACCTTCACAGCTTTCATAAATGGATACAAAGGATTCTAGTTAGTAGTTATATGATGTTATCAATACATGTGAATACAAAATGCTTCCTAACCTTGCTTTCCTTTGGAGCACTTTGAGGATGCATGGGATGGGACTATTTTACCATGTCTTGGTTGTGTGTTGCTCATGTGTACGTTATCCAAGGTGGTTGACTCAGGAGTGCCCTCCATGTTGTCCAGGGTGGTTGACTCAGGAGTGCCCTCCATGTTATCCAGGGTGGTTGACTCAGGAGTGCCCTCCATGTTGTCCAAGGTGGTTGACTCAGGAGTGCCCTCCATGTTGTCCAAGGTGGTTGACTCAGGAGTGCCCTCCATGTTGTCCAAGGTGGTTGACTCAGGAGTGCCCTCCATGTTGTCCAAGGTGGTTGACTCAGGAGTGCCCTCCATGTTGTCCAAGGTGGTTGACTCAGGAGTGCCCTCCATGTTGTCCAGGGTGGTTGACTCAGAAGTGCCCTCCATGTTGTCCAGGGTGGTTGACTCTGGTGTTTGCCTCAGAAGTGTCTGGTCCCTAGAAGTCTCTGTTGTTGAGCCTTTGCAAAGTAATAATGAATGTGATTCTGTTGTATGAGCTTCATGACAATACGTTTGCTTGCTTGTATTATTCACTGTAAACAACCTCAATGTCAGGCAATATGCAATTCTACATTAGACATTAACTGATATTTGAGATATAAACATAAACTGATTGAAAATCCATAAATGTGG